AGCCATCACACAGCTAGGTGGGAAGAGGGGTGGTGGGGCAGGAAGACAGGGAAAACTTATGGGAAAATTCAAGGGATCAATGTGCACCCATCATACCTTGTTCCTTCATCTCTCAAAACTGCACAAGGCAGAGAGACCACTTTCAACTCATTACCTCCTCTGCTTCCTTACCTTCCCTTCCTCCTGAGTTTATTCTCACTATCAAACAGAAAGGATGCTTGCGTGAAAAGTTCCTAGGGCACCTTTCGATAAAGGCAAGGCCAGACAGGTGTCGAAGTAGCCAGTATCACGTGGGAGCTGCCCACATGCTCCTCTGTTGCAACGACTCATCTGTGGTTGTTATGTAGCCAAGGTTTGTGGTTTGTGTGCAGCACAGCACAGGCCTGTGCCTATTCCCATTAACTGCGATGTGCATCACTAACTCCTCCACGTACAGTGCTCTCTGGGTCAGGATCAATGCCTTCCACCCCTTGATCCACATACAGTTTCCCTTTCCCAAAGATATTATAGAAATTACAGACTGTGTTAGCAAGCTGTGCAACTAACAGAAGTTTTCCAATAAGATAGAGTGTTCTATCCATCCATGACTTGGATGAACAGATCAAGCACAGCCTCCTCTCAGCTGAAGTGCTGGTGGTGTTGTGAGGAGGGTGTGGGGTTTCTTCCAGCTGCCTGCAGAATGCAGCCCACTCTCTTTGCTCTTTTCTCCCTTCTCTTTCTTTGGAGCAATCTGGGATCTTTCCGTGATCTTCTGTAGGCAGCTGGTGGAAATGAATGCAATGGAACACACTGAGACCTGCAACAGAGGTTTTGGGAGATGCAGGCGTTGCTGCTGCCTTCTGCTGAAAGGACACAGGGGAACTTCTTCTCTGAAAAGTCCATGACAACCTTACACTGCCGTGCCCTGCTGACCCACAGCACAGCATGGATAGGCAGAGTCTCAGTCAGATCTCTGTACGCCAACCCAGCGTACACAAAGTAGGAGCCTCTCTTGCTGTCGCCAGTGATTTCCCACTGCCTTGGGCTGGTGAACAAGGCTGTGTGTGGAGAAGAATTCGGTTTTTTCTCCAGCTTTGTTCATTCTTGTCCTGCTTGGACAAGGAGAGCAGGAGAGCATCAGTTCTTCTCCAGCAAGGAGAAGGAAAGTCTGTACCAGTATATCCCATGGTGCACACCCTTCTCTTCAGAAATCTCTCTGGGGTGCAGTCTCTCCAGAGGGACTCCCAAGGCAGAACATTTTCTCTCCTTGAGATCCTCCTTTAAAGTTGGAGAAGAAGAGGTACACAACTCCTCTCTGTCATGCCACAACAGACAGCAGGATGACAGGTCAGCACTTTTTCCATACCTGCGAGATATGTCAGGCCTGACTGGGATAAGCAGAGAAGATTCCACTCTGCAGCTTGCAGGGTTACGAGTCTGTGTGTCTGAGGGTGTCTAGAGAGGTGAAAAGCTTTGGGCACAGACACAAACGTGCATTCCTGAGGTCCCTTTCTCTTCCATTCATTTGCTGCCTCTTTGTGCATCCTTGTGTCATGAACACACTTAGGTTGTCACACAGCCCCATCATGTTCCTGTGATAACACAACTCCACCATGCACACACACACACACACACACACACACACACAGAGAGCAGGAAGTCCGTGGAGCAGAGGACATGCACCTCATGACTGCGTGCAGGTGTCATTCCCCACTGTTCCCAGACAGACAACTGCCTTCTCACATTTCCGTCTCCCTCCCACTCCCCTGCCCACCCACAAAGAGATGTATCTCTTCCTCTCAGCCTTTCCTCTGTACTCATCTCTGTGTCTGTGCTGTCACCAGGGGCAGGTTGCTGGAAGGAGGTGCCCTTTTCCTATGGATTTCCACTGGTTCCTTGTGGCCATCCTGGCTCCTCTGGGTAAGTGAGCTTCCCTTCCCCTTGAACATCTGCACTGGAGCCCCAGCTGCTGCTTCAGCGAGGTGCTCATTTGCTGGTAATGCCCTTTTCCCACGGCTTCCAGAGGGGGATGGGCAATGAACAAGGTGAGCTTTTCCTCAACCTCTTAATTCAGAATACTTTGCAGCCCTACAAATTTGTGTTTTGTTTTTTTTTTTTGCTCTCTCGTTTTAATACTTCAATTGAGAGTTCTGAAGTCATGATTTTTCAAAACACACTTACATTTGTTTTGGAAGCTGTTTGTTTATTAATTAGTTAGTTAGTTTGTTTTCTCCTAAGTGTCTTTTTCAGAGAAACAGGACACTGTCCCACAGCATTCTCGCAATGAGTTATCATTGAATCCCAAGACATACTTCAAGACTATATTTTTGTGTCCTCTACAATACATTTCACTTCCCACATTTCTTCCCTTCTCTTTCCAGGCTGGGCTGTTGAGCAGTCACCAGATACAATCATCCAAGTGGGAGACCCTGTGACCCTGAACTGTTCTGCAACATTAAATGTAGTTTATGCCATGTACTGGTACAAGTTGCCTGCAGTGAAGGATGCCTCTCTACAGTTGGTTGTATACTCATTGGAAGGTGGCAAAGCAGATATTGAGAAGGAATACTTAAATCGTATCCAGAGCAGTGGGACTAAGGGCAAACGTTTATCTATGAAGATAGATCATGCCCTACTCAATGACACAGGCACATATTTCTGTGCTGAACAAGAATCACAGTGACTCAAAAGATGGAACAACAGAGCACAAACCTTTGCATGCAATCAAGGGTCTGCCACCAGTCACACATAGCCCTGTGTAACCCAATTTCTTCCCTTGCCCTCCAGATTTTTAGGAAAGGGGTGGTATTGCCTCTCTGTCTTCTGCATGGTCTCTAACTTCTTTCCTCTTCCTTCCCATCTTGGAATCACGTTTTGACTCTCCTTTCTTCTTGTACTCCCTGCCTCATCTCCTTTCTCTGCCCTTCACACGCTGCTTTTCATGCTCTTCCTTGAATGTGTTGCTGCGTGTCCTCCCAACCTTTCTTCTCTGTCCTCTCACTCCTATTCCTCTCCTATGTCCTTCATCCTCATCCATTTCTTCTTCCTTTCAGTCTGCTACACAAATTCCAGGGGAAGCACAATGAGGAAGAGTTCATATAGCCTTTTCCTTCTCCCCAGCTGGAAGGAACAACAACAGTAGCAATAAAAGGAACAATAATAATACTGGAGTAATGATAGGGAAAATAGGGAGAGGAATAAAACTCAACAAACACAAGTGATGCATAGTACAGTCATTCACCACACACTGACCAATACCCAGCCTGTCCCTGAGCAGTGATCTGTGTCTTCTGGCCAACTCCCTGCAGTTTATATGCTGAGCATAATGGTTTATAGTGTGAAATATCCTTTTGACCAGTTTGGGTCAGGTGTCCTGGAAAAGCTCCCTTCCAGCTTCTTGTGCATCTCCTCGCTGGCAGAGCATCAGGAAATGCAAAGTCCTTGATTTAGGCTAAGCACTGCTCTGCAACAACTTAAACTGTGTTTTCAACATTATTCTCATACTCAACCAAAAACACAGCACTATATCTCAGTCTTCACCTGTTGATCCTGTCTCCTGCTTAGCACTTGCACACAAGTTATTTCAGGACTTTCAATGAACTTTCATCTTCAGAGGAACCTTGAGTTGGGTGACGCACAGAAGGCTGGTGCCTTCTCCTTCCCAGCATCATGAACAGAAGTACCACCAGGGATCCTAGTCCATTTCCCTTGAGTCTCCTCCCCTGTCCTCAGGTAGAGCTGCAGGAACAGGAGAAAGAAGGAGGAGGAAGAGAGAACGGTGTTGCCAGCAGGGCTTGGCAGAGTGAAGATCTCTGTCATTTATTCCCTGTGTTCCTTTCACCCTTGCCAGTCTCCCAGACGTTCATCCCTGAGCTCATCAGGCTCCCCAGCCATCCTTGGCAGATTTCTCCCCATGCAGGAAAGACCATATGGAGGTTCTTCACAGCAGAAACACCGGAGGGTGCAGTGGAGAGGATGGCAGTGGCCTGGATCTCTTCAGCTGGTGAGCAGAGCAGCAGAGAAGTGTCCCTGGCAGAGCACGAGTGAATGAAATGTCACTGTACAGCTGCTTTCACTGGCTCTCTGCCAGTGGCACCCTCCACACCTCACTGGAGGACAAACTCAGTCCTGCTAGGAAAGCAAGTCACCTTGGACAGCTGGATTCCCAGGGCAGAGGGGGGAATGACCCAGATGGTCTCAGTCTCTGAGAAGACCTCAAATTTGCCAGATGAAGTGTGCTCCCAAAGCAGAACTGCCAGATGCCCTTGTCCCAGAGGCAACACCAGGCCGACACAGCCAGAGTTCTCCAGCCTGGCACACAGTCCCAGGGAGACACCATCTCTGGAGGAACTCAGGCTATGTCCTGTCAGCAAGGAAAGTTGAGGGAGAGGTTACCCTGACCCCGAATCTCAGCACCTTTACTCCCCCATACTTCTCCCTTGGGTCTACATAAGATGTTTTCTTTCTTCCCATGCCAGCTCATTGCCTGTCCCTGGGCTCTTCAATGGTATTTACCTTCTTCTCCTACCCCTCTCACTGCAAAGTCCTTGAGTCTTTCCTGGTCCTGCCTGTCAGAGATGTTATTTGCTGTGCTCCCAGTACCACTCAAAAAGAAAAAGCCATCACACAGCTAGGTGGGAAGAGGGGTGGTGGGGCGGGAAGACAGGGAAAACTCATGGCAAAACTCAAGGGATCAATGTGTGCCCTTCATACCTTGTTCCTTCATCTCTCAAAGCCTTCCAAAGGAGAAGGGGAGCTCTCAGTATTCCTCTGCCTTGCACACCCTGACCCTCAGGCAACCTCAGCATCGTTCTGTTCATACAACCCCTTTCTTGCCTCTCCACCACACCCACCAGCCCCACTACCCAGCCCACTGCATCTCTGAAGGGTTTATGCTTTCCTGTGAGGGTTTGCATCATTCCCCAGTGTTCCCAGACAGCCAATCTGTTCTCACATTTCTCATCCTGCCCCACCTCAGTATGTCACCCTCACTCAGTGCTCCCTCTTCACATACCTCTGTGCAACTACAAAAGCCAGATTGCTGACAGGATAGGGGCTTTCCCCTCATGGTTTCCTACTGTTTCTTTGTGGCCATGCTGGCCCCTATGGGTAAGTCAACTCCACTTACTCCTGAGCACCTCAATCAATTCCACTGCTGCTCTCCCAGCTGTGTACTCAGTTGCTGGCAGCGTTTCATTCCTCAAAGTGTTGAGGATGAGCAATGAATAAGATGGCAAGGAATCATCAAATCTCCTGCACTGGTGGTCTCTTTTTAATTCTTTGTTCAGTCCCCCTTTTTTTGGACACAAACTTCCCAGGAAGTGTCTTGCCTATTGGAGAGAGATTGGGAACTTGCTTGCTGATCTGAGGAGCTGTCTATGCCTTGTGCTGCTCCCTAGTTCTTTCTCACCCTCTTCTCTACCAACCCACAGGGCCTAGTTCACAGTTTTTCATTTTGTCCTTCTCTTTAATGCTCCTCCTTTGCCTTTCCAGTGTTGGCTCTGGAACAGTCCCCGGACATGGTGATACAAAAAGGCCACTCTGTGAATCTGAGATGTTCCAAGAAGAAATCCACCAGCACAGCTATGTTCTGGTACATGCTGCCTTCGGGGAAGGACTCCAGGCTGACCTTTGTGGCTTCTGCAGTGGAAGCTGGTAATGCAATTGTTGAGAAGGATCTTGAGAGCCATTTCAAGATCAGTAACATAGAAGGGGACAGTGTGACCCTCTCAATAGAGCATGCCTTTCTCAATGATTCTGGCATGTATTACTGTGCTGAGGGTGAAACACAGTGGCTAGGCTGCTGAGGGAGCTGAACACAAATCTCTCCCTGCACAAACAGGACCTGCTTTCCTCCTTCCGGGTGCTGCGCAAGGCAGGGAGATCACTTCCGACTCATTACCTCCTCTGCTTCCTTACCTTCCCTTCCTCCTCTGAGTTTATTCTCACTATCAAACAGAAAGGATGCTTGCGTGAAAAGTTCCTGGGGCACCTTTCAATAAAGGCAAGGCCAGGCAGGTGTCGAAGTAGCCAGTATCAAGTGGGAGCTGCCCACATGCACCTCTGTTGCAACGACTCATCTGTGGTTGTTATGTAGCCAAGGTTTGTGGTTTGTGTGCAGCACAGCACAGGCCTGTGCCTATTCCCATTAACTGCGATGTGCATCACTAACTCCTCCACGTACAGTGCTCTCTGGGTCAGGATCAATGCCTTCCACTCCTTGATACACATACAGTTTCCCTTTCCCAAAGATATTATAGAAATTACAGACTGTGTTAGCAAGCTGTGCAACTAACAGAAGTTTTCCAACAGGATAGAGTGTTCTATCCATCCATGGCTTAGATGAACAGATCAAGCACAGCCTCCTCTCAGCTGAAGTGCTGGTGGTGTTGTGAGGAGGGTGTGGGGTTTCTTCCAGCTGCCTGCAGAATGCAGCCCACTCTCTTTGCTCTTTTCTCCCTTCTCTTTCTTTGGAGCAATCTGGGATCTTTCCGTGATCTTCTGTAGGCAGCTGGTGGAAATGAATGCAATGGAACACACTGAGACCTGCAACAGAGGCTCTGGGAGATGCAGGCGTTGCTGCTGCCTTCTGCTGAAAGGACACAGGGGAACTTCTTCTCTGAAAAGTCCATGACAACCTTACACTGCCGTGTCCTGCTGACCCACAGCACAGCATGGATAGGCAGAGTCTCAGTCAGATCTCTGTACGCCAACCCAGCGTACACAAAGTAGGAGCCTCTCTTGCTGTCGCCAGTGATTTCCCACTGCCTTGGGCTGGTGAACAAGGCTGTGTGTGGAGAAGAATTCGGTTTTTTCTCCAGCTTTGTTCATTCTTGTCCTACTTGGACAAGGAGAGCAGGAGAGCATCAGTTCTTCTCCAGCAAGGAGAAGGAAAGTCTGTACCAGTATATCCCATGGTGCACACCCTTCTCTTCAGAAATCTCTCTGGGGTGCAGTCTCTCCAGAGGGACTCCCAAGGCAGAACATTTTCTCTCCTTGAGATCCTCCTTTAAAGCTGGAGAAGAAGAGGTACACAACTCCTCTCTGTCATGCCACAACAGACAGCAGGATGACAGGTCAGCACTTTTTCCATACCTGCGAGATATGTCAGGCCTGACTGGGATAAGCAGAGAAGATTCCACTCTGCAGCTTGCAGGGTTACGAGTCTGTGTGTCTGAGGGTGTCTAGAGAGGTGAAAAGCTTTGGGCACAGACACAAACGTGCATTCCTGAGGTCCCTTTCTCTTCCATTCATTTGCTACCTCTTTGTGCATCCTTGTGTCATGAACACACTCAGGTTGTCACACAGCCCCATCATGTTCCTGTGATAACACAACTCCACCATGCACACACACACACACACACACACACACAGAGAGCAGGAAGTCCGTGGAGCAGAGGACATGCACCTCATGACTGCGTGCAGGTGTCATTCCCCACTGTTCCCAGACAGACAACTGCCTTCTCACATTTCCGTCTCCCTCCCACTCCCCTGCCCACCCACAAAGAGATGTATCTCTTCCTCTCAGCCTTTCCTCTGTACACATCTCTGTGTCTGTGCTGTCATCAGGGGCAGGTTGCTGGAAGGAGGTGCCCTTTTCCTATGGATTTCCACTGGTTCCTTGTGGCCATCCTGGCTCCTCTGGGTAAGTGAGTTTCCCTTCCCTTTGAATATCTGCACTGGAGCCACAGCTGCTGCTTCAGTGAGATGCTCATTTGCTGGTAATGCCCTTTTCCCAAGGCTTCCCGATGGGAATGGGCAATGAATAAGGTGAACTTTTCCTCAACTTCTTAAAATATTTTGCAGCCCTACAAATTCGGGGGGGTTTTTTGTCCCATTTTAATACTTCAATTGAGAGTCCTGAAGTCATGATTTTTCAAAACACACATTTGTTTTGGAAGCTGTTTGTTAGTTAGTTAGTTTGTTTGTTTCTTTCCTCAATTATGTCCTTTTCAGAGAAACAGGACACTGTCCAAAAGCTTTCTTGCATCAAGATGCCACTGAATCCCATGACATACTTCAAGGCTATATTTTTGTGTCCTCTTCAATGCATTTCACTTCCCACATTTCTTCCCTTCTCTTTCCAGGCTGGGCTGTTGAGCAGTCACCAGATACAATCATCCAAGTGGGAGACCCTGTGACTCTCAGCTGTTCTGGAACATTGAGTGGAGTCAGTTCCTTGTACTGGTACAAGTTGCCTGCGGTGAAGGATGCC